TTGGTGCCTCGGCAACCTTGTCCCAAGGCATGGTGCACTCTTCTTTGTAGAGGTTGAGGCGACACACAAGGGTGTCGATACGGTCAAGCTCGGCAATGTTGGCAGCGGCAAGCTGAACGTCATCATCCCCTAATTGGAGCAAAGATCCGGCAACCAAAACGGCTTCATCAGTAGGAGTGAAAACCGCAGGATAGCGGATGCTGGAGAGCCTGGCCGTACCTGCTTGCTCAGCGGGAATTTCAGCCGTCGTGATCAAAGCCAGAGGGTCCACACTCAGGTTGCGTGCTTGTGCCACAAATGGTGCGGCTTGCGTCGCGGTGCAAAAGCAAATACCGGTGGCCTGAGCCTGTACCTCAGTGAAAGCAAGCTGACCCAAAGGAGAGCCCGACGTAGACACAAAAGTACCTGGTGCAAGGCGAAGCTGGGCCGGATCAACATGCAGAGGTGCCTGCAGGGGACGCTTGGAAGGCCTGGCTTTCTTTTCTTTGGCCTTGGGAACTCCAGTCCCAAATTTCTTCTGAGCTTGGAGCTCGATGTGATTTTGAAGCTCATCAGCCTGAATCCAGCGGAACATGCAGGAGGGCTTGGAGGCGCAGGTCTTCAGAGCCTGCCAGGGATTGCGCTGTTGGAGTGCCAGAGCGAGGGGGCCAGGGCCGATTTTGGCGACAGCAGCTTGCAGCCGGGTGGAAACAACGTCAGTGGGAACCCCCTTTGCAACCAGTAGTGCCTGCAAGTCGCGTTCCTGTTCAGAGGAAAGACCTCCAAGGCCCTGAAGAAAGGCCAAGTGTGGCGGGAACTTGCGCTGAAAATCAAGGGCCCAGTCAAGCAGGGTGGGAAGTGCAGCACTGAGCACCAATGCAGCAGCATGAGCCAGAAGGAGTACCCCGCAAGAAGAGGAGTCTGACTGTAGCCAATGTGCTTGGTCTTCAAAAGACAGCAAGCAAGCGCCCTCAAGTTGGCAGAAAGCCTGAGCAAGCAGTTTGGCCGGCTGGGTGTTACGACCAGGGATACCATCCCAGTGCACAGCCACGACCCCAGCGGGGTCAGCACACAAAGTAAGGAGGGACCAGTGGCCCTGCGAAACGAATGGGATTAAGATCAGAGGCCCTTGCGGTAAAACCGGAACGGTGGCAGCGGCTAGGAGCATGTCTTCCCCCAACAGTTGTAGAAGTGAGGTGGCTGCGCACGGCGGCACCAATCGGAACTCAGCGGAAGCCAGCGGACTCTGAATCCACAGGCTGATGCCATACCAAATCAAAAAGTCCGAAGCACCAACTTCGTGAAGTCCATCCAGGGGTGTCTGGTGCGTGGCGGGTCGGGTGTCCGGCTCATGTTCCGGGGCAGATTGCTGAGGAGCAGTCGAGGCAGGAGCGCCTCCACAAGACGTGTCGGCACCACTCGGGGGAGGGGTTGCTGCGCATTCCAAAGCAGCCGCCTTCCGCATTACCTGAATCTGGTAAGTGGGGCCATCAGGCAAGAAGGAGAGCTTGGCAAAGCGTGGCAAAACACGATCACCGACAAGTAGTTGCAACTTAAATCCGGGAGGCAGGAAAGCAGCCTCAGCACACAGAAGCTGGCCAGCAGTGAGGGGCCCAGAAGCAGTCTCAATTCGGGTGCCGTGGACATCCTGTACGGACAACTGGCCTCCTGCACACATCGACGGCAGAAGCCAGGTGTCTTGCCTTTGCTGCACGAGAAGTTGCTTGTACCTGCGGAGCTCGGCTTCGGGGCAGATCAGAGGCAGGCCAAAGCAAGGACCTGCTGCAGAAAGCACCTGTGACCATATCCAGAGCGCCTGCAGTGGCGCGGCAAGCTGTCCAACAAGACACAAGGCAGCACGAGGGTCGGGGTGGTGATTGAAGGAAGGCAACAAGGTGTTGAGCAGGCCGGCTTCAGCGGGATGCAAGAAACGCAGTCCTTCAAAAGCACCAGAAGGAACACTTGCACCACTTGACCCGCACTTTGTCAAGCTGTTGAGGCTGAGAGCCTTCGGGCGACAGCCGCAAGGGCAAGGTCGAAGAGCACAGCCCCAGCAATGGAGCGCGGTAGGGGCCTGGTCACTGGCAACAAGAACGCGGGTTTCTTGACTGAGATTAGCAAAAGCTTCTTGCTCCTTTGCATCCCACAGCAGTGCTGCCTCAACAGGAGTGGGCCAAGTGGGCCATACGGGAATGACGTCCTGAACTTTGAGTAAAGGGCTCACGGCAGCCCAGCCTCTCAGAGCCTGCAGGGGCAGTCCGTTGGGGAGCAAAGCGGCCCACCAGCGCAAACGATGCGATGCCCATTGGTCTGCAAGCTCTAACGTTAAGTGATGCATCTGCAGGTCGGCTTGCTCTGCAAAGGCACTGAGACACTTCATTTCAGGAGTACTCTGAATGATATCGACTGGACCTTCAAGGACAAGGCAGCTAGCCTGTGTGTGCCACATAAGTTGCAGGATGTGGCCCAATGTGGCATGCCTATGGTCACCAACACCGGGGCCTAAACCAGACCTAGGGTAACCATGGCGGGGGAGGCCTGCACACAGCATGCTTCGCACCTCTGGTGCAACCTGGTGAAGCCTGATGCGATCTGCACGCTCCGCAATGTCACCCTCCAGGACTGTGTCAAAATTAGCGCGCAGAACTGTGCAAGCAAGTTGGTTGTTATCAAGCACCGCAAGGCACGTACCTCCCAGCTGTTGCAAGCCGGCCGAAATTCCACCTATTCCAGCGCAAACTTCTTTAACAGTCCGAAAGGATGTTGCAGTCAGCAGGGGCCTTTGAATGATTAGGGTCTCCTCGGTGATGTGCAGGTGATGGGAAGCACCAAGCATTCCATTGTACAGCACACCATACAAAGAGTAGACTCGATCACACTCAAAAGTGCCCAAGCAAAAGCACTGTTCGCGATGCCATAAAGCTTGCAAAGTAGCCCC